TGCTCCAGAGGGTCCATCTGAGCCTCCTGCTTTTCTTCTGGAGCTGCTGGAGGGGAAACTTGCTCCACATCAACTCAGTTTTGGGAAGGGCTACAATTCCTGTCTTGCCTGTTTTCCCTGTTCCTGTGGGTTTTCCACGAGGTTTTGATAACTGCAGAGTGCCCTCTTGTCAGCCTTGAGATCTTCGTGTGCCTCTCGTGATGGCTCCAGCCCTGCCAGGGGTGTTTGGCTTTGGGTGAAACACTCAGAGCGACCGATGTGGTGCAACTGTGGGATTTGGAGCTCCTGAATGCTGCCTGGCTGATCCAAAGGAGGAGGAGGAGGAGGAGGGGAAGAGCCTCCTGTCTGTGCTCCTCTTTGCCCTTCACATTCCTCAGGCTCCAGCTCTGGACCCCCACCCTGCCCAAGGTGAGGAACTCCTGAGGCAGGGGGGACAATCTCCTCCCGTGGCTGTGCCTCGGCGTGGGAACACCTTTGGGGAACTGCAGAGGGTTAAAACCGCATTTTAAAACYGGCCCAGGGGCAGAGTCACATGCACCGGGGAGATTTTGCAAGTCGGCGCTTGCAGCTCAGGGGAAGCAGAGGGAGGCAGGGGCACCGGCTTCCTGCTGTCCCTGCTCAATCCAGGAGCCACCGGGGACACAGGGACCTTGTCCCACGGACAGAGGGACCTTCCTGCCTGCGGGTGGCCCAGCGTGGCCCCTGTGGCACCCAAAGGCCAGGCAGGAGGAGGAGGAGGGAGCTGAGCTGCGTTCCCAGCCCCAGGACGGAGCTGCACCAGGTAAGGCTCTGCTGGCTGCTCTGGGGATGAGCACAAGGAGCTGCTGGATGTTCCTCTGGTGTCCAAATAAGAAGGTCCCTGGCTTGAAGGAGGTGAATTCACCAGACAGTGTGTAAAGAATGAGGAGAAATGTAGAGAAAACAGAGGCTGGGATGGAGGAAAGGAGAGGCTGCTCCTCCAGGTAGCTCAGGAGGCATCAGAGGAAGGTTTGGGGGACACCCAAATCCCAAATGGAAAGGGATCAGGCAGGAAAAGGCCACAGAGCCAAGCCATGCTGCACTCAGAGGTGAAAGCGAAGCTGCTTTGTGGATTTTGTGCTTTGACTGAGGAGCTGCCAGCACTGGGGAAGGTTGTTCCTCCGCTGGGGATGGCTGCAGCCCTGGCCTGCTGCCCCTTCACTGTCACCTCCTGTGTAATGTCCTCCACAAACCCCAAATTCTGCTCATCTGAGCATGATTCCTCTCCAAATGTGGATGTGCCAGCAGCAGCAACAGGGTGGTTGGTTTTAATCAGTGTTTTCTTTCATTTCTAATCAGTTTTTTCTTCAGTTTYCTCTGTTTTTTCACTCTTTGTTTCTGTCCTGTGTGGGCTTGTCTGTGCTGATTTTACACTGCCTCCTGTTCGATGGCAAAAGAGGGACAGGAGGGAGGAAATTCAKTGTGAATGCCCCTTTTGGCGCTGGGGTGTGCCCTGTGCCACGTGGCTGCCCGAGCTGTGCCCGGGGCTCTCTCCTCCTGTGCAGGTGAAGAGCAGGTGCTGTGCCCATCCTGTGTGCACACACTCACTGCTCRCCCCTTGTGAAATGTGTTTGATCCCTTTAAAGGGGAACTTTCAGCCTTTCTATGTTCTTTTCTCTCTTTTTTTTAATGTTCTTTTTTTTCCTGTGATCAGAAGAATTTCTGGTGTTGTTTCTCTCACCTCCATTTCCTTTCTGATGTTCATCAACCAGGGGCTGTCCTGGCTTTAAATACAGCAACAACCATCAGGAAAAA